GCCAGTGGACTGCGCATTGGAAATAACGTGAACGGTGGCCAACAAAAGGAGCCACATATTGAATCATGTCGAAAAGTGTGAGGAAGTTTCATATGTGCTCTCCACGGTTGAGCTGCTGGCAGCGACGGATGATGTGGTAGAGAGCGATATGGACATTGCGTTGGGATGACTAGACTGGGTTGATGGCTCGGATCCTCGGGGCTTTGCCGTTTTTGCATTTTATGATGCCACCTCCAGATTGGCTTCACATTGCACCAGGGCCAGAGCAAGAGCCTGATTGGTCATGGTCGTGACCAGGACCAGCGATAATCTCTACAAGTCGTTAGAACTTGATGTGTGGAGCACTATCAATGGAGGAGCTTCCAGGCTTCACAATCCCAGGAGTATAAAGGGGTCTCTTCATTTCACACTATATAACATTGCAGCTTACGATTCCGACTTTTCCCTGGGCATCAACCGCGGACTTCTGTGAGAAGCGAATCAGATTCTCTTTCAACTCGTCTTCTTGCTGAAAGATCCATGAGCATTGGACTTGATACAAAAAGCTGTCACCCTGAAGGAAATAATCCAAGCGCCAGATTACTAGATTAATGACTAGGTGAAGGGGTTGGGCGATACTCGTTCCCAACATACGATCCCCTAACTCCGCCTCCTGCTATGAAGGGCTTGCAGGACGAGATCAAGAAGGCCAGTTCTGGAGTGGAGGTGACTGCAGAAGGTACTGATCGTGAGGAGAGAAGATACTGGAGATAACCAACCAGAACAGTGGACAAAAACCCTTTAACGGCGCGAGATCAACGCTAGGGTAAAAATGGTAAGTCATCGAAATTAGATGAGCCTTTCATCACTTTGAAGGAATTCGGTCGAATTAAAACAACAATCAAACCATTAGTGCCCAAATCATTGGAATAATTGCATGGACTGTGCAATGCCCATACAATGTCCGAAAACCAGATGATATGATGTCGAAATTTTGATTACCAAAATGATGTCATACCAATTTACCAACATTTTACCAACTGAATGGACTCTCGTCGATGTGAGGGATGCAAAAACAGCCGAACCGACGAAAAAACTACGTGAGGAAATTGAGGGAGAGGGGGGGGGGGGGAGAAGGGGGACTCCTGGGATTGTGCAGCCTGGAAGCTCCTCCACTGATAGTGCACCACAGATCCAATCCTAGCGACTTGTAGAGGCTATCGGCGGTCCTGATCACGGCCATGACCAGTCAGGCACTTGCTTTGGCCCTGGTGCAATATGGAGCTAATCTGGAGGTGTCAGTATAAAGTGCAAAAAAGGCAGCGTCTCGAGGATTCGAACCACCAACCCAGCTTAACCGTCCCTGTTCGATATCCACAACGCTATCCACCAGACATCCGTCGCTCCAGCGGCTCAACCGTGCACAGCTCATACTTCCCCGCACTTTTCAGCATGTTTTAACATGTGGCTCCCTTTTTTGGCTACCGTTCACGTTATTCCCTTTCACTGTGCGGACAGTCGACGCCACGAATGGCACAAACGAAGCTCAGTGGGTTGAAACGGCAATATCTGACAAAATCATTTTCACTCCTTTTTGGCATTCAGTAAGCCATTTAGCGGAAAAGGACCATAGTTCTATACTCAGTGAGCCCCATACCATGCAAAAAACCATTTCCAAAAAGCGTCCCAAGCTCTGAGAGACCTTTCTTATTAGCACTCCTTAACGAATACAATGCAACCCCCCTCATCACTTTACAACTACATAACTGTTATTAACGCAACGCATTAACGCATGTCACCCATCAACATTACTTCATCATTATTCTTTTGTTTATTGCAGTCAGATTCAGGTCGAAAAATGTGAAGCGCACCATTTTTTCTTACTTATGGATGATCAAATGTGTTGACTAGAGCACCCGTTGCAAGCGATGCGATGAATGCTGACTAGAAGTGCGTTTGTTAAGACATTTACATACAGTTGAAACATGGGAGAAATTCTCCGGTATTCCCTGTTTTTCTAAAAAAACATCTATATTAGAAGGTCTTTTGAGTAAAAAAGTGTACCTTCATTTCCTTGAAAAACCTATGCAGTTTTGCAGCCTTTTCGAGCATTTCCGTAGGAGGCAGGCCCTGTGTTTGAACAATGAACCTGCAAAAAATAGTTAGAAGTAAAACACAGTCTAACGATGCTATTCAGTTGAAAAAAAGAACATAGAAATGTTTCGAATTGCCATGGAATTTTGAACGGAAACCTAGATATATATCGATAAAGTTTAGAATACCGTTTACGGGTACAGAAGTGAGGACTGCTGAACGAATTCTCCAAGAATTAATAAGCCCTCATAATTTGCATGAAGATGAGTTTCAGTTATGGTCGCTCTTGTGCGCACCACAGCAAGCGGCATCGTGGAGGATAGCTGGCGCTCTCCCTTTTCAGACAAAGGTCAATTTCCCTTCATCGTCAGTGGGGTGGAGGAACTTATGTACGATTGAGATGAGGTAATTTACGATTGCGGTCACTTTGCACCTAGGTGCGAAGTTACCTGAATTATACATAACCTTATTTTGGTTACGCTCCTCTCCTCAGTCGCGCGTAACCTCATCCTAATGACGAGAATAATGACGAAGGATGAGAAAGTGAAAGCTCAATAGGAAATTAGGTATTCCGACGGGAAAAGTTTCATTCATCATCCCAACTTTTGGGAGTTTTATTACCGTGCAGAATAAAAATATTACGAAAAATCAGTGGTCAAAATTTCACTGAAGAAATAAAAAAATTTTTCTTCTCTTTCTGCATTGCGTACATCGTTTGAAGAATTTCTTGATATTCGTTTGTGAGCACCTGCCCAACAGTATATGTATTATATGTACCCGGAACTTTGTAGACTGAAACCCGATTTTTTTCGTATTTACTTACCTGCCTTTTCCCGAACATCGTGTTTGTAAAGGTAGTTTGTTATTACACATGAGCGAATATTTTATTCAAAAAAAGGAGCAAAAGGATATGCAACAGTTCTTCTGACATCTAACAACAGAGTGTCTAAGTGAAGCACTATGTTGCATGCATGGTCACGGATTCGAATCCTGGCTCGATGCCCGTCTGAACCAATCAAGTCTTCCATCCCTCAGGGATCCGTTAATTTGTATTACACTCGTATGGGAGGATACAAGCACTAACTTGTACATCGGCTAGCCACCACAAGTCATTGTATAGGCATTATTTACGCCGCTACGATCCTGAATGGAATCCGAATCTGTGGGCACCAGACGGCCCCAGACGGGACTGATTAACACAATGATTTATCCTTTAAATTCACCATGTATCAATATGAGTTGCGGTTTTGCACGACAATTATTTTTTTACCGTATTTATGGCGCACCCTGTATATGCGAGCCAAGCAGATCGACGAACCTATGCTAAGAGCAGGGCTACTCATTATCCATTACGCCACTACGATTCCGAATGGAGGTCAAATGCGGGGGCGCATCCATACAAGGGATTGACTAACGTCAAAAGACTTCATCCTAATCCTTTTTGACATCTTACACAATTCACAATAATGAATTCAACGGATTCCTCCATTCTGCACGGTAATGAAATTCTTGAAATCACAATTTGTTAAAATTTTCATGTCAACAAACCTTTTTTATTGAAATTCTGTATGTACAATTGAGGTCACCAGCATCGCACCGCACCTAGCTGCGAAGTGACCGCAATTGTAGATAACCTTATCGCTATCGTACATAAGTTCGCATACCCCCGCCAATGCCGCTGCACAGTGCGTTAGCGCACATTTGCTGATATTCGGTAAAGTAGGCGCCTTATTTGGGCTCACTGAAATAAGCGCCTTCCTCATGCTATCGTTACGCTCACTGCACCTTAGGACCGACCATTTCTGCACGACATGATTGACTCATGCCTCAATCATGAAGACTAATCAACAGGGAAACAGCAAGCATCTACTGACGTGCTTTGTCGGAATTGTGACATACTTATGCACCACGTCCTCTCTTAAAGGCTCAGATCACGATGATTTTGGGTAATATGATAATAATGGAGGACAAAATCGAAAATAATGCGATGAAGCTGAAGAAACTGCGTGAATCGGTGTTTCCAAAGTGAAAAAAGGCTTCGAAAAACCGTCCAACTGGGGGCCGGACGAGAATGAGACCAGAAAAATGAAGAAGAGTGGGGCGTTTGGACGAGCTATACAATGTGTCTCACTGCATATGTGTGGGTGCTGGTGCGAATAAAAGACAATGGTAAGCGAAAATTTATTCACTTGAACAACATATTTCTGTCACAAACATTTCACTTTATTTGGATGTTTCATCGATGTTGAATTTTTACTTGAATCTATTTCAAGGTGATTTCTCTCCTGTGTTGCGTGTCGAAAATGAAAGAAGGCCATATACAGTAGAGCTCAAAAGTCTTCGGTGAAATGGTTCTTCAGCCGTACTTTTCAGTCGTAACTCCTTTCCTACTAGATCTATTCATGCGAAATTTCTATATTTGAAGCATGGGTGTATTGTTGATATGTACCATTATGTACCATTAGCTGGAATCTGATCATGTTCCAGATAATCCAAAGAGCATAAACTCAAAATCGACTGAAAATACAGATGATGATCCTTCTAGAGTCTCTTTCCTTCTTGCCATGTCTAAAGTGTACGAGCGGTAATACCGAACAAAATAGAAGAGAAGAACGCACATAAGGTGCGAATAAGTGCAGACGTCAACAACTTTACTTTCAGCCAAATCTGCTACCGCAACAGACACCTTGCTCTATCTGTGGATACTGCAGGTTCGCAGTCAAATAGTGTTGGGTTGAGTGAAATATGCTCTAGTTAAACATATCCAAATTTTGCGTGATTTGGTCGACTAAGAAAAAAGTTATGAACGAAAAAGCGTAAAAGCATTCCACCGAAGACTTTTGAGCGCTACTGTAAGTGCTTCTAAGTTATGTTATAAGGTAAGGCCATGACAAAGCCAAAGACATAGCCTAGACAAAGAGCATACTTGAGTGAACATCAGTTCATAAAAGCTTCAGCGGGAAAAAGCACGCTGTGCAAGGGTCTTAGCGACTGCAGGAAGCAAATCCTTAACCTTGGCCTGACGAGGAAGAGCATCTCCTCTACGTCACGGGGACGCTTGCTATACAGTGCGTTTCATAATTATAAGGTCACCCTCAATTTTTGCGACTCTGGAGAAAGCAGCCGGAATGGAATTTTTTGACAAACACGGGAAGATATCTCATCACAATGTACCGCGTATTCAAATTTTGGTCGCAATATCCTTTACCTCAATTTTTTTTATGAATTTTTCAAAGATAGTGTCGGCTTTTGCACCGTTTCATAGTTATAAGGTCACCCTTAGAAAGTAAGTGATTTATTAACGTTAGTGGCATATGCACAACATTTAATAATCCATAGCTCCTCCTAATTTAAGAGCAACATCAAAGAGTCTGCGTGGCATACTAGAAACTAGGTTCCGAAGATGTTCCTCATCGATTGCTCCCCATGCTTCGATAACTGTCCGCTTCAGCTCTTTTGTGCCCTGGAACTGACGGCTATTCGCATAAACCTGTCTGACTATTATGCGCGAGATATTTTCCATCGGATTGAGATCGGGACTGCAGGCTGGCCATGGCAGGACGCTTACTTATTGGCATTGCAGCCACTCATCCGTTGCACGGCTCACATGAATGGAGGCGTTGTCTTGTTGAAAGACGTAGTTGAGGTGACGGCCACGGCTTAGAAAGGGTATTAGCTGATGCTCCAAGACGTTCTGGTAATCCTTGAAACCCATACTGCAGCTCACGACAGATAGTTCCAACACGACATCATTGCACAATCCACCCCACACCATAGACTTCCTCCACCGAAACTGCGACGGCTGAAGTAGACTGGTTCCTTTCTCAAGTCGCGTCAGTACCACTTGTTTCCGTCAGGACCGTTTAGATTGAGTTTCTTTTCATCCGAAAAAACGACCTGACTAGGAATTATTCAGCTCTATCGTGAAATTTTAATGCAGATCTACTTTTAGTCAATCTCACCCTAGGTTCATCTTTGCAAATCCGAGTCGAGCCTCTCTGTGGCGATCGGTGATTCGTGGCACCTTCTCCAGTACTTGCCTGGTGATGTTATCGCATCTTCTCACTGCTCTCCAGACTGTGCTTTCGACAAAGAGAGGTTTAATTCCGATCGGGTCTGGTTCAAGGAGGACGTACTGTTGGAAACAGTCCTCAGAATCTTCCGCACGTAACGGGCAGTAATCCAAAAATCTTTGAAGGACCAAAGGGATCTTCCTATTTGCCTGGAGATGGCTTGAGTACTGAGCCCACCTTCATGATGAGCCTTCGCATCAGAGGAAAGAGGTGACCACGAGCCATGTTGACAGCCAGGTTTGGAAATGCATTTGCTACACATGCTTATCTTTATAAGTATCTTTGACACGAAATTTCCTCTCTTCCATGAATAATTGATCTTTTTCTCAGGGTGGCCTTACAGTTATGAGACGGTGCAAAAACCGATAAACTGTTCTGAAAAAATTCAGAAAAATGCAGCTGCGGCTAAAAAAGGAAACCTAGGTTATTCGTGCTGAGGAATCCGTTCATGATGCTAGAAAAATCCTTAATGACTGCTTTTTCTGAAAGTGCAAAATTTGAGGGTGACCTTATTATGAAACGCACTGTATATCGGATGAATGCGCATTTCAACTCAAACTATCTTCAAGCGAATTTTTTGAGTATCCAACTCAGCAGTTCTAACTTTTATATTCGTAAACCAAGCTCCGATACCTTTCAGTCATTTGGTTTTACACATACTGACCAGCTTGTAGCTTCGCAATCGAAGCTGTGGTTAGGTAGTTGCCTAGAAACTGGAGGTGTGGCGGTCCCTTGCTTGAGTCCCCCTTGTCCGTCAACCTGTGGTCGCGGACGGACAAGGGGGACTACCATATCGGCCTACCAAAGAAGAGGCTACCTGTTGTCCTGCCACATGCTTTCATCTTTACCATTCGATGTCGGCCTTTATGGTCCAAAAGCTCTTGCCAAGGTTTTCTATTGCTC